AAAATAATTGGCATGGAAATAAAAAAAGAAGCAATAAAATGATCATTTCCACCCCAAATGATGCTGAAATCCAAGAGATGAGTGGAGAAAACTAAGATTAGTGGGATGGGTTGTGGGGTTGGAAGCACACTACTAGACGTGATATGATGAAAAGGAAGAGTGGCAGGGACTTCACAGAAAAGAAAGCGTACTGTAAAGCCACTGTACTCATCAGTATTGTAATGACACAGAGTAGACAAATAGATCAGTGGGGCAGAATAGAAAGGTCAGAAATAGCTCTCAATATCTTTCTCTGTGTGTGCATATAATAAAAGTGTCATTTCATATCAATGAGAAAACAATAGCTTATTTAATTAGTGGTACTAAAACCATTAGATATTCAGATAGAAGAAAATAACAGCCTATTAAGAATGGAGAGGTAAATTGAAAATTTTTAAATGATAAATTACATTTTTTCTTTCTTATAAAATTTATTGGGGTGACATTGGTTAATAAGATCATAGAAGTTTCAAGCATACATGTCTGTGATCTATGATCTGTGTATTGCTTTGTGTGCTCACTATCCTAAGTCAAATCATCTTCCACCAGTTAATTTTTAAAGAAAGAAAACAGAAGAATATTTAGGGGATTACACATTTCTGGGAAAACTTTTTTAACAAAAAAACCAGAAGCTTTAAAAAGAGAAAATACTTTTATTTGACTCTATAAATACTTAAAAGTAAACAAAAAGTTGCCTTTATAGTTTTATATACATTTATTTTTTTTTCAGACAGTTCACAAAAGTATTGGTTTTACTTCAGATTGAGAAACACTGAATTAGGTTGTTTGTCTCCTGTGTTTCTGAGAAACTGAAAGATAAATCTAAAAGTTAGGTCAAGTGAGACATTTTTGGGCTAGGATAGATCATAGGTGATATGTTCATATTGCGTTATATTAGGAGACACATAATATTTGTTTGTTCCATAATTAGTGATGCTGTATTGACTAGGGGATTAGCATGGTGATGGCCTGATCCTTCCATTGTAAAGCCCAAATTACCACATTGGAGGCCAGTAGAAGCCCCTTCAAGCTGGCTCTGGGTCCTTTTATTTTTCATTTTTCTTTATTTTTTTCCATTTTTTTTACTTTATTGATTATGCCATTACAGTTGTTCTGTTTCCCCCCTTCATTCCCCTCCACTCTGCACCCCTGGGTCCTTTTAATAGGATTCCATTAATCTTCAAAAACTTTTGGCCTTTCTGGCCCGAGATCTCCCCCGTTCACTTCTGCCTAATATAAGCTATTTTTTTTCAAGGAGTCCTGGTTCATTGTAGTGGGGATAATATTACAGTCCAGAATCTAGGTACTAGTGGTGGATGCACTTTCCTACTGAGTTGGCAATGATTCTAGCCATTTAAGTCTGTACAGCCAGAAAAAATATATATATTTATAAATCATCCATTCATGATGATATTTTCAACAATGTTTTACTTTGTTCTTTGATTTACTAATTAGGTCTCTTCTTCTCTTTTACTGAAGTTCTTAATTCCTAACATTGTTTTGGTTTTGGGGTTTTTTTTTTGTTTTCTAAGGCATGTATACCATTTTATTAGTAGCAATTGTCAAGGAAAGATATTTATTTGTATGGATCTTAATCTGAACTCACACAGAACTTTCCAAGTGTGTTTTTTTTTTTCCAGTCAGTCCTGGTAGCTTCTTAATTTTTTATCATTTGTTTTATTGTTGTTTGAATACAGTTGTCTTCATTTTCCCCCTTCCACTCCCCCTGCTCCATCCACCCCAACTCCCACCCTCAACCTTACACCCCTTTGTCCTTGTCCATGGGTCCTTCATACGTGTTCCTTGATGACCTTTCCCTTCTTTCCCCAGTTCTCTCCCTCCTCCTTCAGTAGTTCCTAACATTGTTAATCCAAAAGTGTTTTTATTCTGTACTATGAGGAAAATAATTTCAAATAAAACCAATATTAATACTACCAAGAAAATGACTGATTGAAATTCAAAATATCTTTTTAGTGTCTTTTTTCCTTTAGAATCCTCTGAACTATGTTCTAAAGTCACTTGAAATCAATAATTTTTTGTTGTTATAACTGATTTGATATACTGCTATATTCAATTTCTCTTCAGTTTTAGGGATCCTAGTCTAAAAATAAATATTTTGAAATGTTTTACATGTACATTTTTTATATTTACTGTAGTATGTATTTTAACTTTACTCACACATTTATCAATACTAATGCCACTAATTTGCTACACTTTTATTTTCTATTCTCAGATAAATAGAATAATAGATTGTCTACAATTAATATAGTCAGTATTATTTGCCAGAAAAGGCAAACGGGGAAAGCAAAGACAAATGTTTGCATTGTGTCTCTTTTGAAGTTTTTATTTAGCTCATCTTGATTTAATTAATTCAGTTAATTGGGACATGTCATGTGGGCTAGGATTCACTATGATGGGCAAAAATAGATTAAAATGCAGTGTTTCATATGTGGGGAGGAAAAGTTTTCTTCCCTAATTTTGATAAACTTTACATGTGCAGATATGTATATGAATATGTCTTATGAGTTCTGCATTTGTAGATCAGTTGATTCACTCCAAGATGAATTCGTTAATGATAAAGTATTTCAATCTGTGAGACATAAGTAACAAATGTGATGATATTCATTCAGGAAATGTTTATTGTCATATGTGAAATTGTAAAAGCACTGGCTATTGGGGATATAGCCTTGAGCGGAGCAGAGTCTCTGGACCCATGGAGGTTATATTGTGGTGGGTAGAACAGCTGATAAAGATGTCTGACCTTCTTAACTTCCCACCATTCAACCAAATGTTGGCAATTCCCAACTCGGGTAACAATTCCAATGTTGCTAACTCTGTCCCCTGTCCAGATTGTCACTTTAGTATAACTATTTGAAGATTTCCAGGCCTACTACATATTAATGGTATAAAACTGAAATTATAGAATATAGTTATTAAAGAATTTTTAAGAAGAAACAAAATGTATTAATATGAATGTTTTGAAACATCTTTGAGAAAGCTGTATTTACAAGCTATGTAGCAGGAATTTACTTTTGGTTTAAAAAGATGATTATTTACCTTGCAGAAGAATTTTATCTAGGGTTACTTTTGAAGACTATTTTTCTAGTACATTTCAAATGATTCAACTTACAAACATCCTACTTCCCTACAAACTGCTTCAAATTCTTATTAGAATTTATTTTATAAGTATAAAGTACCCTATTTTACGGTTTAAAAATTAACAATAAATAATTTTAAAAGGTAGTCATTGACATTTCATCTAACTTTATGTGAAATAACTAAAGATGCATCGGGATATGAATATAAATAATTATATAAAAACCAAAATATTATTATAAATGGTCACAAATATACATGTGGCAGGGTGCAGGGTAGGGTTTTCTAAACTTTGTAACCACCAGTCGTTTTTCACCAGGGTCATCAAGAAAGAAAAGGCAAAAAGGACTTTGTTAGCACACCACAGAGTCAGGTTGTGCTTAAATCGTGGGAAATATTAGGATGGGAAATGTTCTTCTTGTAGGTTTATCATTTATAGAATGCCTATGAGGGTGAGAGCTGATGAAAACAGAGAAGCCAGCTGGGGCCTAGGACACTGGGTGGTGAGCACAAGGATGAAAAGAACTAGGAGAGAGAGGGGGACAGGGAACAGGGAAGAAGCTGGGTCAGAGAAGGTACTTACTACCAGATGTTGCTCTGAGGTAGACTCTGATGGCCAAGTGTCTTGATAGGACAAATAAAAGGTTTCACTTTCATTTATTATTTATTTATTTATTTATTTATTTATTTTCTTTTTTCATTGTTGGTTAGCAATGTACAGTTGTCTCCATTTTTCTGCCACCACTTTCCCCTGCGTGGCCCTTACTCCTTTTCTCCTTTGGCTCTGTCCTTGGGTCCTTGCTACATACGTGTTCCTTGATGACCCTCCCCCCTTTTTACCCATTGTCTCCTCCCACCTCCCCTCTAGTTAGTTTGTTCTTTATTTCAATGTCTATGGTCATATTTTGCTTGCTCGTTTATTTTGTTGATCAGGTTCCACTTATAGGTGGCATCATATGGTGTTTGTCTTTCACTGCCTGGCTTACTTCACTTCGCATTTCCTTATACACTCCCAGTTTTTGTGTTCACCATTGCTTAATTAGATATTCTCTCAGGCACTGACTGTGCTTTCCAAATGTTAAGTGTCCTGATGGAGGAAGGCAGGTTAAAATCAGAACAGGTGGTTGGGGTTTGGTGGGGGAGTGTTCTCAGGACTAAGGATGACGTGAAAGCTGGAAATCTGTCTACCTCCACGTGGCAGAGGAGTCTTCTGATGACATTTCTCTTTTCCAAACAGTTCCCACCAATAGACATCCAGCGGCCACTTGATGCTTGCTGAAGAAAGCCATTTAGCTGCAATTAAATATAAAGACTTCAAGTTACAATGGGATTTGAATTAACCACCTCAAATCCAAACTAAATTATAGTTGACAGGTAGTTCTTCCCAGGTTTGTTAACAGGGAGATAATGGTCATCTGAAGTGGGAGAGTAGTAGGAGGGGAAAGGCTGAAGAGATTTTAAATGAGACCAACCAAGTACATCATAATGTTGCCAGGACTGGACACAGTGGCCCTCATCTGGGTAAGGAAAAACAATCTGTTCAGAAGTCTCTCTGAATTTCTGCTGGTGTTTTTTGTCCACTTGGCATCGTACGTGAAGCATTTCTTTCAGAGCATGTGCCAACTCGTTTCAGAGGGAGCTTTGTTCTCAGAGGGTCCATTAATTGAGGTATCATTGCAGAAATTGGAACAAAATTTAATTTATATTGTAGAACTCCTTAGTGCGGTTCATTTTTCAATCCTCTGTCTCCTCCCCTTGTGCCTCCAAACAAACTCTCTTCTCATTGCCAGAGTAATTTCAGAAGATTCCGTAACAAGTTCTCAGAGGCCTATTGTGCACTCACAAAGCATTCCGGCAGCGAGCTGGGGCTCTGCCCTTGCCCCGCTTTCCTGAGCACAAGGCTGCCCTCACTGCTCACCGATGGTGGAGGACAAGCTTGCCCAGCACTAGGAGCCCGAGCAAGAACTCGCCATGCCAATCAAACCTGTTGGGTGGATATGTGGGCAGGTGTTGAAGAACTTTTCTGGAAGAAGTACACGCAATCTTGTTGTAAAGGGGGTGTGGGTGTGGGAAGTTGGGAATAAAGTCCCGTAGGATTTGCTTGGTTTTCCATCCCCCTAGGCCATGGGCACAGTGTTCCATATTCTTTTGAGTCATGGTCAGGGGATGTTTTTAAAGCTCCTTTTCCCCTCTAACTTCTTTTTGTCTTAGTCGAGGGGATCCAGAAAACAGTCATGGACCTTATCGATGAGTTTAAAGATGAGTTCCCTACCATCCTAAGGTTATCAAAGTCTAATCAGGTAATGTGATTTCATAACTGAACAGAATTGTAAAAGTATATTGTATTTTTAGTATCATACCAATTATTTAATGCTTGATTTTGAGATCAGTGTTTGAAGATTAGGAAAACAATTTTACTTAAAAAAAAAAAACAAATTTCAACTCCTACTCATTGAGGGAGATGGGAGACAAAGAAGTTCTGTAGACAGATAATTAAGTTTAAAGACAGACTCCATATCATTAGATTGAAAATCTAGAACTCTCTTATAGCCCAATTGCAATGTAGTTTACTTCAGACAATGAAAACTCAGAAAAATACCTAGATATACTTTAATGAAAATATCTGGTAATAAAATAAGCGGAAAAAATAACACATACATTATAACAATAGAAAGATGAGTCCTGTTTGAGTGTGTGTTTTATGTGGAAAGAAAATAGTGATATAAGTTTAACAAAGTATATATGTATATGTTTTAAACATCTGTTCCAAAAAAGGATTTGAAATATAAAATAGTGGGATTAGAAAAGGGGGTAGGGAGAAATTTTGAAGATATATATGGTTGGGAAAAAGTAACACCATGTTTAGGGGGCACATGTGACCTACTTTACTCAAAAGTACACACCTCTTAAAGGAAAGGTGTTATTTCAGTCATTCTGCCCACAGTCGGAATGGAATACATTGTAAAGTTACATGGTTCAGTAACAATCTGCTCACCCAGAAATCAGCTGTTGGCAATGTCAGGCATGAGAAACACAGTCAACACTTGCAACACAGTCAACAACAAAAAACACTCTGATAGCAGTAATGGCAAAGTCTATATATTTTATTCCAGAGAAAGAGGTATTAGAGCTGCCTTTAACCATTCACCCAAACACCAGGCATCAGATGTTAACTAAATGCTTTACTATTGCATGGGCCTGGGGAGAGGGAAGATGGAGCTACACGTGATAGGATTCTTTCAGTCACTGAATTTAATTTAATGGAGACAAAGTTATAAACAAGTAATTGCACTAGAATATGGTGAGAGGTGTATCCAGTTTAGAGGAATGAGTCACTTCACTTAGGACGGTCAGAGAGGGCTTCATGAAGGAAGGGTGCTTATATTGAGTTTCAAAGGACAAATAGGGGTTTTAAAGGTAAAGAAAGGGAGAAGGTATGGGGTAGGAGGAGAGAAGAATACTCCAAAGGAAGCAGTGCCAGGCCCAAAACTATGAAACAGTATGTCCTCAGGTCTCAGCCCAGACTCTAGGACAGGGACACTGAAGCAGCGTTACCTGGACGCACAATGGTAAGATGGCATCCAGATGGTGGTAGTCTAAGTGGGGTGGAGCACATCTTAAAATCTCCAGAGGGCAGATGGGCTTTTGTAATACCATGCCTTAGCCTTAGTGCCTTGCTTCCCCTCTTTGCATTCCCCTAGTCTTGGTATAACTTCTTCTGAAACAGAAGAGAGTTATTTGGGAAGTGGGGGGACCGTGCTCTGGAGTATAAAGGAAGAAGATGGACAGGGGACCATGCCTGGTCTGGGATGTCACATGGGTGAGGCTGGCACAGTGGTGGCAGTAATTATTGTGAGAGCCTCAGTGAATCCTGGGAAGCCAGAGACAGACCAGGGAAGCCCCATTGCCTCTTTCAGGTGTGATTCTCCCACCATTGCCAATAACAGAGAAACAGGGATTTTAGATAATCAAAGAAGTTGCAGGTCTCTTCACAGCATCCTTCCTCTCCTCCTGCCCTCTGCATAGCCTCGTTATCACTAGAGACGCTTTTTCTGCAAGACAGCCTTTCTGGCTAGAGAGGCTGGACACTGAAGCACGCTTTCTGGCTAGAGAGGCTGGAATTCTGATTTTCAGAGAAAGAACCCTGACTTCCTATTTCCAAACCATTGAGATCATTTACTTATAAGAACCTTACCCCACTCGGAGAAGAATATAAATAGAGTTAAATGTTCTTCATTGAGCATTTTCAAAACATGTAACATTGTTCTTCTGCCATTTACTGTGAAGAATGTGTTGCTGAGATTGGCAGGGAAGCTAAGTAGTTAGGGGATAAGATAACACATTGAAATTATTTGCTCTTCAAAAGTGAATTATCCAGAAAACAATACTAATACTTCATTGTGAACTTGATTATTTTTAAAAGGTCAGATTGTGAATGCTTCAAATGTCGTTATTTCCACGATGCTCCTTAGTTTCCAAACACACCGAAAGGAATGGTTTTAAGAATGCTTAGGGGCCTTTATTAACTGGATTGTATTTCAAAACTCTAGATTATGTGAGTAGTATTTAAATATTTTTTAAATGATCATTTTAGGTATTTATTTGAGAAAAGGCTGTCTTGCAAAAAAAAGATTTGATGGGAATGATAGTGGAGTTTTTTTTTACAGAGGAATCTACAAGGCTAATAGTTTCTACTACATAGTTCTTCATGACTAAAGATTTTGAAGGAAACTTTTTTTCTGGGGCTGGGTAAAGTTAATTTTAGAATCTTGGCTTGAGGTTGTGGGTCCTGAGGTCCTGTATACTCCATTCCTCCCTCCCAATCAGCCCAGACCTCCATACCTTCAGCATCTACTTCCTTCAGTAATAAGTGAGTTTTTAAGATTTACACTTGCAAATTGTAGATGATTTCCTTATGAGGATATAAGGACTTAAAATAGTAAACCTTTAAGTTTGAACATGTGAAAAATGTGTACTACAATTGGAGAATTAAAATTTTTTAATCCAGATGATCTTTACTTGCATGAGAAAAATCTTTTGTGATAAATAAGGTTAATATTTGTGACATAATTATGAAATATAACTATATGTTTTATTTTGTAATTATTTTGCACTTAACTATATGCTAAAGAATTGGGACTTATAGACAGAACATACTAGAATCCATGCAAAATTTGGAATTTTCTTCTGTAGATGTACTTTTTCTGAATTCCCTTTGCTTTAAAAAAAGTGAGACAAAAACTACTAGAGATGCATGAATAACACCTGGAAATTACTTATATTGGTATTAAGGTCTCTAAATATAAGGAGAGTAGGACTGTAACCAAAATGTTCTATAATTCAATAATATTTATATCTTTGGTGAGTTGTTCCTTGTGGGGACGATTATCGTTGTGAAAGTTACAAAGTGAATTGTGCACTGAAATTTTTCTCATTGGTTTCTAGTTTAATATTTGGTATATTGGCCTGATATTTTTCATATTACCTCGTTATACTTTCTCTGATACCCCATGCATTTTAACTTGCATTTATAGAGCACCTGCTGTGTCAGCACTGCTGTAGGCACAGGTAAAAGACCGGCAAGCCCAAATGGACATAAAACAGTATCACAGAACATAAATTTTAGTCAAGCAAAAAAACTAAACAAGGAAAAATATATGTTAATGGTAGGTCTTGAGGGACAGAAAAAATACAGCAGAGAAAGGATATAAAGTAGGGGTAGGGATAGGGAGAACAATTGATGGTTAAGACCTTCATGGATCTTAGTGAGAAAGTGATTTTTGAATTAAGACCTGAAGCGAGTGAGGAAAAGAACCTTGGTACCCTTCAGGGATTAAGTGCACAACTAGTGCAAAGTCCCTGAGGGTGGGAGCATACCTAACACGTTCCACAGGCAGTGAGGGGGGAAGGGGAGGTCGAAAGAAGAAGAGGTCGGAGAGGTAAAGAGACCACCTTTGTCGGGCCTTGCAGACCACTGTACGTGCTTTGGCGTTTCCACTGAGTGCACCAGAAGCCGCTGAAGCAGTTAGGCAGAAAAGCAAGATGTGCTCTAACATTAGCTTTCACTGTAGCTCTCTGGCTGCTGTGTTGAGGAAAAGAATGAAAACAGGCAAGAGCAGAAGCAGGAAGACTACTGAGGAGGCTAATTTACTAGTCTGGAGAAGAGATGATGGTGATATATAAATAAAATGAACTGGGTATTGATACCGGGACAGTGAGAAGGGCTCACATTCTGGGGCTATTCAGAGAAAAAAATTGAATAGGATTTGCTGACAGGCTCGCTTTACAGATGTAGGGTAGTAAGCTGATGTAATAGAAATTGGAGTTCAGCATTAAAACTGCTGATGATAGAGAAATGGGAATGACTGTAGAAAAAAATGAAAAGGGAAAGCATTCTATGTTGAAAGAATGGAGCTCAAATAGAGAAATCTGGAGCAGGATTCTTGAACCAATCTGATTAACTGGTGCTAGTTTCTTTTGGTAAATGGTCTGAGTACCTTTGTGTGTCTCTGAGGTGTTGGTAGTGCTGGGGGCTGACATGTGGTGATGCGGTCGGATGAAGATAATGATGACAAGAAGAATCACCTAAACTTGCGTACTTTATAGACAATCTGAGGATGCTTAATTAAGCCGAGAGTAAAAAAATAATAAATATACACAGGGAAAAGAAATGAGGACTTCTCAATTTGGAGTTAAATTGTGTGTAAATTTACATTTACACACACTGTTTGGTTAGAAAATACATAGCATAGATAACACAGAAAAGTAAAAAGTTGATAGGTCAATAAAAGGGGAAAACATTTTATTTAAAATTTTTTTCTATTGGAGCTAATTTTAAAAGTAACTAATTGGACTCATCAACTTAAACTGGTGACTGTTTTTTTTTTTTTTAAAGAAGAATGTCTCATTCTGCACTAAAAGAATATATCATATTGTTGGACTATAAGATGCACCTTTTTTTACCACATTTTTTGCTTCAAAACTTTTTTTCCTATTTTCCTCCTCTAAACCTAGGTATGTCTTATGGTATGAAAAACATGATGAGTAGCCTGTCCTCTGCTGTCACTTCCATGTTCCCAGGGACAGGAGAACCCCTGAGCTTGCACCCCTGTTCTGCTGTTTGGTTTCTAATACTATTCTTAAGAGCAGTAACAGTCTTCTTGGGAATAAATTGATTCCATGTTTAATTGCAGGGAAAGTGAAGGTAGTTAAACCATTTTACCAGAAGTGATTCTTTCAGAGGTATCTAAGAAAGTATGAAAAAGAAGAGAAAGCTTTAAAAACTCTGAAAGGAAGCACA